CATCAATTCTTCTCATCCTTAGTTGTTGTCCAGCTCTCTGATGCATGGCAAGTAATTGTGAAGACCATGGCCTGGATCAAGTGTACCTTAGTCTCTAGACTATCATCATTGCTCTTTAGCACTTTGGAGAGGTCCCTGACAATGGACTTCCCCAATGCAATTCATCCTTTTATTTCCTGACTGCTGATGCGTATATTATTCTATAATTAAAATTTATAATAAACATTATTAAGGATTCTGTACAGTAAAATACAGGAAGAGGTGGTGAGGTTTGACATCATGAGTTACTGCACTGCCAGATACCAACTCTAGGGATGACATGGATTCAAAGATCAAAAAGAAAAGGAATTGCATGCCCATGTTTATTGCTGCATTATTCATAATAGCAAAGAGATGGAAGCAACCCAAGCGCCGATCAACAAACTACATGGGATGTTATGCAGCCCTGAAAAGCAATAAATTTATAAAATATTACACAACATGGGTGAGCCTTGGAGGACACTATGCCGAATGAAATATCTCAGTCACAAAAGGATAAATACTACCTTAACACCACTGTTGGGGTGTGTGTGTATGTGTAGAAAATGGGAAACAAGTGGATAGATAATGAACACTGCATTAGATTAGATGAGGAAAGAACTGTCTGAAAGGAAGATATGATATGTGTATGACAACAATCTGGAACAAGAGGTGCATTGAGAGGAGGATTGCTTGGAGGGGAGAAGGGAGAGAGGAAGAAAATGTGCAACAATGGAAAAAAATTAAAACACTTTTTATGTTTTAAAAAAGGAAGGGAATAATTAAATGTGTGATCAAATATATTACTTTATAACTAATGCATAAAACTCTTCAAAAAATAAGTTGCCTTACATACAATTTTTAAACTGAAGTTAAAACTCTTCGGAGTTTTAATCATGTCAGAACCAACTCATAACTGACCCTACATTGGAGTTTCTGGGGCTATAAGTTACACAAGAAGATTTCTCATCTTTTTTCCACACCGCCTTTGGTTGATTCTAACCTCCAGAGAGGTGTGATCTTTGAGTTAGTGGTGAAATTCCCAATGGACTATTCCAGGAGAGTTCCCCTTATTGTAATTAAAGCACCTTTAAAATTGTCACTCCATATTAGTAACTATTTTCAGCCTTTTCCTGAATTATGCTATTTAAAAAAAAATTACTGGTTTTGCTTACTAAATGTACTTTATAAGAAGAAATAAGCATTGTCTGTGAATCCCAAGTTATAGCAAGTGCTTATAATAGTTTAAATGAAACAAGACTAATTATACAACTATGATTTTACACTTATAATAGAAGATGAGTCAGACAGGATAGGAAATTCCAAAGGGACTCCTTTAACACACTGGTAACCACTTGACAGTACTCTCTCCTCTTAAATAAGCCTTGGCTCTAAGATTCTAGAAGATGGCCTTTGGTTCCAAATCCACAAACTCTGGGATTACAGCAGAGAAAAAGCAAACAATTTTAGAAATAATGAGTGTCTACACAAGACAATTCAGGTGGGATAGACTCAAAGTCATATTTTGGTTGCCTTGGATTTGGTTTAATTTTCCTCAGCTTCAGCTTGAATTTGCATATGAGTAGTTGGTGGTCTGTTCCACAGTCAGCTCTTGGCCTAGTTTTCGCAGCTGATATTGAGCTTCTCCAGCGGTTCTTTCCACAGATGTAATCGATCTGATTCCTATGCATACCATCAGGTGAAATCCAGGTATATAACCTGCGTTTATGTCTTTTAAAAAATGTATTTGCTATGAATAAGTCATTGATTGTGCAAAATTCTATCATTCTCTCTCCAGCTCCATTTCTGTCACCGAGTCCATGTTTTCCAACTACTGAATCTTCTTCTTTGTTCCCGATTTTTGCATTCCAGTCACCCATTATTATCAATGCATCTTGATTGCATGTTCGATCAATCTCCGATTGTAAAAGTTGGTAAAAATCTTCTATCTCCTCTTCACTGATTTCACATGCAAGCAAGATTTTACTGAAGATTATCCAAAAACGACTGGAACAGCACATCAACAGAGAACTACCAGAAGTCCAGGCTGGGTTTAGAAGGGGTCGTGGTACTAGAGATATTGTAGCTGATGTTAGATGGATCTTGGCTGAAAGCAGGGAATACCAGAGGAATGTCTATCTGTGTTTCATTAACTATGCAACGGCATTTGGCTGTGTAGATCATAACAAACTATGGTTGACTCTGAGAAGAATGGGAATCCTAGAACACTTGATTGTTCTAATGCGAAACTTGTACTTGGACCAGGAGGCAGTCGTCAGAACAGAGCAAGGGAACACTGCATGGTTCAAAATGGGGAAGGGCATACGCCAGGGATGCATCCTATCTCCATACCTTTTCAACCTATATGCAGAACAGATTATCCGGGAGGCTGGGCTCTATGAGGAGAAATGTGGGGTCAGGATTGGTGGACGATTTATCAACAATCTGCGTTATGCGGATGACACAACCCTGCTTGCTGAAACTGAAGAGGACCTGAAGCACCTGCTGCAGAGTGTCAAGGAGTGCAGCCTACAATATGGATTGAGGCTCAATGTCAAGAAGACAAAGATTCTCACCACTGGAACAATTGGCAGCATCAGGATGGATGGTGAAGAGATTGAGATTGTACACAGCTTTAGTTTGCTTGGCTCCATAGCAACAGTCTTGGCACCAGCAGCCAGGAAATTAAAAGGCGCATTGCCATGGGAAAGTCGTCTATTAGGGACCTCTCCAAAGTGCTGAAGAGCAATGGTGTCTCTTTGGAGACTAAGGTGCGTCTGATACAGGCCATGGTCTTCGCAATCACCTGTTATGCATCAGAGAGTTGGACAATGACCAAGGAGGATAGAAGGAGAATTGATGCCTTTGAGTTGTGGTGCTGGAGAAGAGTATTGAGAATACCATGGACCGCTAGGAAAACAAACAGATTTGTCCAGGAAAGGGTTAAACCAGGTGGCTCCTTGGAGGCAAGGATTCTGAGCCTCCGTCTAACATACTTTGGACATGTTGTGAGGAGAGACCGGTCCTTAGAGAGGGACATCATGCTTGGGAGGGTGGAGGGACAGCGCAGGAGAGGAAGGCCCTCTATGAGGTGGATTGATTCAGTGACTGGGATAATTGGGATGGGAGTGTCAGAGACAGTGTGATTGGCACAGGACAGAGTGGAGTTTAGGGCTGTTGTGCATAGGGTCGCTATGAGTAGCAAGCGACTCGACAGCATATAACAACAACAACACCACAAGACAATGGAACTCAAGAATCTCTAGGGTCACCAGCAAAATTTTTCCACCTTCAAAAGATGAATGCTGAGAATATTAATATTATATATATTTTAATATAATTATATTGCAACTCACTTCTGTCAAGATGTCTAGACGAACTTCTTTCCATTCTGTGGAACATATGTTCCTGGTTTTCATTGTTTCCTGGTGTCTAACTGGCTGTTAATGCCCTAATTTATTTCATCAGTATTAATTTACTTTCCTATTCTTTTTTGAGAGGTTCTTAGACAAGTTTCTTGAAAATCCAAATAAATAGGTCTGCTGAGTTTCCTTTACTTTCTTAAAAAAAGAATCTTTCAGGGAAGCTTTCTGACAGGTTATAGTGACTGATTTATTATTAATAAAGCTTGTTCCTGGTCAGGATCCTATTGGTTACATGGACACAATTACCCAATTATTGATAGTTTCAGGAAACACTCTCAATCTGTATTTATCTTTACCAAATTGTAGGCCACAGAAGTATTTTCTGACTCAGAAAATTCGTGAAAGCTAATACTATATTCCGTCTTGATTTGGTCCCATTTTGTACTTCTAGAAAGAACTTTTAGCTGCCTCAACATCAGTCACAAACAGCTGATGGCCTTTGAAATTGCTCTGTAAGCCTCTCCTTTTGATACTCTTATCTCTTAGCATTTTAGGGACATATTCTCCCTTGTGGAAGTGGGGGAGGGAGGGGACTTACAAAATGTTCTCAGCGCCTTCTGCAAAAAAAAAAAAAAAAAAAAAGGCCCAGAAAAACATACCAGAAATTTCAAGCAGCTTTTTAAAGGCTTCATTTTCCTTGCTGAACAGTTTCTGATAACTATCTTTCCACTTCATTTTGCCTTTGTAAAAAAACCACTTTGCTTTTCTACTGGCCTGGACCTTTGAACATTACCAATCACAGAAGAGCAGAGGAAAGGCTGCTGTGTAAAGATCACCAGAGCAAATAAGAGTGTCTGAACTTCACCTGCTTTTTATTTGGCAATCCCATTCCATGACCTTCCCTCTTAAGTTCATTAGGACAGAGGATTTCGCGTTTGCTAGGAGGTCTAGATCATGACCTTCATATCCAATCTCTCAGTATCATTTCTCCCCTCAAGATACTTATTTGGTTTGAGCCCACAGTCTCGTGTCCAGTGAAAACAGGCAGTTGCAGAATTTTAGGACTGCTGCAACAGTGTGATTGGAACGGGGTGGTTGGAAGCACTGTTTTGACTAATATCTATATCTTCCAACCCATAAATGAAATACAATTTTAATTATGTGGTGGTGGGGAATAAGTATGGATATCATTGCCACGCCTACAAAAGGAGTAAAAATCTTCGTTAAGGTTCAAAGTTTTCCTTAACATGTAGAGATGTAATACCTTGTGGCCTGTGTTCCAAAAATAATGACTCACAAAATTTTGCAGCAGCATCCCGTCAGGGCTGAACCCAGGACTGATGTGCGGCACCGACCTCGTGGCCCAGAGTGTGGCCCCTAGCCCCGCCACGACCTCCCGTCACCCCCAGCTAGGGGTCCTCCCCCCGCTGAAGTGGGCGGGCCGTGGGCCGCGTGCCGGGCGGGGCGGGCGTGCCGGGCGCGGGTCCTGAGACGCGGAGGAGGACGGAGGGCGGCAGCTAGAGGGAGCTACTCGCACCACCGCCAGCGCGCGCCGGCCCCTCCACGCCCGCGGCTCGGAGCGCCAGCCTCCTCGCTCGCTCCTTCGCCGCCTCCCCCAGCCCGCGCCGCCGCGATGGCGGAGGACAGCGAGTCTGCTGCCAGCCAGCAAAGCTTGGAGCTGGACGATCAGGACACGTGCGGGATAGACGGCGACAATGAGGAGGAGACAGAGCACGCCAAAGGGTAGGAGGGCGGCTCGCAGGCGGTAGAGGGCCCGACAGGGTGCCGGGGCCACGCGCCCCTCGCTGTTCCCGCTCCGGCGCTGGTCCTGCGGGCACGGGTGGGGCCGCCCTGTGGCCGCTGCGACCCCTCAGGGCCCAGGAACCAACGCTAAGCTCAACGGGCCGCTAGAGACTGGTCGATCCGACCCGGGCTAGGCAGCGGGCCACCAAATGGGCTTTGGTTTTGTCCCAGTCCTCCGACCATTGTGAGCTCCGGATCGCACGCTCGGATCGAAGACCGCGCGGTGGATGCGGGGCCCAGGGTGGGCGGGGAGGCGAGGGGCCCCGTTTGCGCCCCCGAGGCGTTTCAGTCGGGCGCCTGGCGCCCCCGGCCTCTCAGGAAGGTCACCTGCCGCGTGTCCCCGCCCAGCTCTCGCCCCATCCCCAGCGGCCGGCCTCAGCCTCGGCCCGGTAGGTGTGATTTGCTGCCATTCCAGCATGTGACTCTCTCAGTGGGAACCGACAAGTCACGAAACCCTTCTCTTTTTTGGGGGCAGCCCCCATCCCCTGCCAGCTGTCTGAGTCCTCAGCCAGCTGCAGCACGTATTGTAGGAAGTCGTCTTCTGCCCCTTGCCATCTTCTTAATCAGATCCTCAGCCCCCCCCCCAAAAAAAAAAACACATACACAAAAAGATACCGGACTGACTGATGGTGGGGAGTGGCTTTGCAGTTGGCCCTTGGTCATTTCGTGGCTGTTAACTCTGAACTGCGGAAAGTTATGCCTTTCTGGGTCGCGGCTCTCGCCCCTCCTCGAGGCAGGCTGGAGGAGGGAGGTGCGACCCCCGCCCCAGACTGAGCCCTGAAGCTCGTGCACCTTTTGACTAAATATGAGTCCTGGACTGTTTACTCCCCGCGCACCTCACAGCGCCAGGGTGAAGGGTCAGGTTTTTGCAACCTAGGAGCAGGGCTGCTAAGGTATCTAGAACAGGTCCGACCCTTTGAATGAAGCTTTTATAACTTAAGTCTATTTTCAGATATTTTATTGTGTTTTATGTGAACCTGTACGTAGCGAATTTTTTTCCCCATTCAGCAATTTATTACACAAATGGTTCCGTGACATTGGTTGCTATCCCCGCAATGTGTCAGCACTCCCCCATTTCCACACAGCCCTTCTGGTTTCCATCCTTCCAGTTTACTTGCCCCTCCTTGACTTCTCTTTGATTTTGTGCAAATGTTGCCCATTTGTACTCGCTATAGTTGATTTTTCAAAGGAGCCTTTTCCCCACGGGTGTTTTTGTTTATATTTTAGGCTAATCTTTTATTTGGCTGAAAGGTGACCTCCAGGAGTGGCTTCTTAGCTTAATTTTGAGGGGCATCTCCCGCAGACCTGGCCAGATCCTGTTTGCAAAGCGGATGTTTGATCTCCAAAGAAAAATGCACTGAGCATTTTAACACTTGATCAGGTTTCTTGGTCATTTTCAATTGCTCCTTTTTCTTCTCTGCAGAACTGATTTGCTCTTTTCCTCTTGGAGAAGAGATTGCTTCAGGTTAAGCATGGCATTGAAGTTCTGTTTTCAGAGGCAGCAGGGGTCATTTTAATAAAGACTAGCTTTACCCTTTTACCCTGTTGGATTCAAAATATGCTCTGGCACAGAGCAGTTATTGCTGTCGCTTAGAAGTGAGATTTTTGTGAACCATAGTGACTGATACTGAAGTGGGTCAGCTTAAAAACAAGATAGGGAGCCCTTAGACACAGATGGCTTATTTATTCAGCTCATGTAGAGGATTCTTCAAGTGTTTGGTGATTTCAAGCATTTGCATTCTATTTAACCTTTAAGCTTTATTTAAGAAAAGAACTTTTACTGAGCATTAGTGTGTTCTAAAATATTAAATAGGAGATCAAGAAACAGAAAAGCTGACTGAATATATCTCCCATTTGGGGCTGCCCTTTTTATTTTTTCCACCACTCTCTACTTCAGTGGCAGCTGCAAGTACTGAATGTTATAATTTGAATCTAGAATAATATTTTTTTAAAGAGAGGAGGGGGGAATGCTACAGAAATCCTAGCCTCAGTTCTGTTTATACAGTGTCAGAAATTTGCCTGTGATAGGTTGGTAAATATAAATATGTTTTTGAAACAATAGCACTATTGCTAGAGATGAGCCAGATAGGAACTTGATGAACTACCCAAATAATTTCTGTATTAGTCTGATGTCTTTCAGGTAAAACCCTGGGTTTTTCTCTACTGTCCTTTGTGTTTACTTATCTTTGCTGTACAGTCTTGGAAATGTTAATAGGACAGTTCTATTCTGTCCTATAGGGTTGCTGTGAGTTAAAAATTAACTCTACAGCAGTGGTTTTTGGTTTTTCTTGCTTCATATTCTAGATTGGGGGTTTGGTTAAGATTTCTTTGCTCACACCAGGATCTATCCAGGGCATAAAAGATTGTTCATCTGTTCTTATTGATCCCAACCTGTCTCTGAAGTCTTGCTTTCTCTCTGCTTTTTGAAATTCTTAGCACTCAGAGACATCACAAAGCCCTCTTCTGAGGCTTTCAGTTTTGTACATCCACCCAGTAATTGTTAGCCCAGTCATTCACAACTTAGAGATAGATTATGGTGTTTTAATTTTAGTGTGTGTGTGTGTGTGTGTGTGTGTGTGTGTGTGTGTGTGTGTGTCAAATCTAATCAGACTGGTACAGGAGGAGATTGTCCCTCCTTCTCCAGCAGAGCATCCGGTGGATTCAAACCATTCACCTCTGGGATTGCAGTGGATTATGGTGTTTTAAACAAGAGTAGATGACATGATAGCAGCTTTTAATGGGAGCAGATTGGCAGAATAGATTTACTGTAATCTATTAAAAATGTGCGGGAGAATGGCCAGCTGCTCCCATGTGTTTTACAGCCTCTGAAAATTCACTAGGGTCAACTCTGAGTCAGTTTCAACTAGACAACTTATAACAATATTAAAAAGTGGAGGCATTATTGAAAATCCCAAGTTATGAGCTTACTAGGTTGCCCCTCCCTCATTTGAAATTAGACTTTGTGCCATAACTTAAACAGAAGTGATACTGATAAAATTGCTCTCTAACAATCTAGAGTTTCCTTCAAGTCGCTCAAGTTAAGAAACTCCTCCTTTCTGTATTTGGTCTCTTTGTTGTCCACTAATGTCTCACCTTTTAAATGTGAATTATTACTTTAAGACCACTAGATAGTGATTAGTGGACTGATTTGCCAAATGGTACACCCTTGTTGCCTGAAAGTGTAGTTACTTTCACAAGTACAGTGTAGGTCCTGGGTTTTTCAGACATATTAGATGGAAACTTGAGCCTCCAATAAAAGGAAAACACTTTAATTTAGAGTCATATTTCTGTGCATGCGTGTATTTATCTTTTATTTTCTCATTTTCTTTTGTAGTTAATGCCCAGTCCTTGAGTGAGATGCTTTATGTTTAATTATGTTAAGAGCAGGGGCTTTTATATGTAATTAAAATCAGTGACTTAAGTATTATAAAGGCTTTGACTCACTATTTTTAGATCTGATTTTTCATTATAAATGTACTCTTTGCATAACTTTTGCCCATCCAAATTGGAAGTGGAACTTTAAAAAAATGTTATGAACCAAAAAACATGGGGACAGGAGGGATTGTCAGGTTTTATAAGTAAGACGGTGTGTTTAAACATGCAGGTTTATTGTTTTGAGACAATATACAGCAGCTGGAATTAGGCCAACAATAGATGGCTTAGAAAAACCCTCTGGAACTTGCTTAAACAGCTGATTTACAGTTGTTTTTATTGGATACTGTAGAGTGGATTCCCTGTTTATAATTAGAGTATCAATTATACAGGGAGAAAAGCCAAACTCCATTGTTGTCCATTCTGACTCATGATAACCCTCCATCAAGTTTGCCAGCACCTTTATAGGAGGGAACTGCATGTCTTTCACAGATGAACTGAAACTCAGACTGTGCCCTCAAATTGGATCCTACTCATTGCTGACTCTCTATTGGGTTTCTGAGGCTGTAAATTACGTGGGAGGAGAATGCCCATCTTTCTCCCACTGAGAGCCACTAGTGGATTCCAGCTGCCAGAGAAGTTCTTTGGGATTAGATTCTGAAAGCTGACCATTTGGTTAAGAGCTCAATACATGCCACACTGCTCTGCTAAGGCTTCAAATATGTTTGTTTGGTGTTTTGTTTGTTTTCCAGGGAAGTAGATCTTTTGAAGGCACTTAAACTTTTAAGTAATTTTTATTCTAAGGTAGCTTTGTTTAAAACAGTAATAATTTGCTTATCAAAAACTTTTAACACAGATAAAAAATTAACTTCAATCCAGTTTTCAATATGAAGTATCAGTAGTGCTTGAAAGGTTATCGAAAGGAAACTCATAGGATCTAAAGGATCTCCTGTAAATCTTCTGGCCAGACTCATGCCTTCTGGCTCCCGGGAAAGGATTAGGGAACTTTGGTGGCCTGGTGGTAAGGAGCTGCACTGCTCACCGAAGGCACACATTTCAAATCCACCAGAAGTTTCTCAGGAGAAACATGGGCAGTCTCCTCCTGTGCACCTTACTGCCTCTGAAAACTCGCTGGAGAATCAGCTGGGAGTAGGTTGCAAACAACAGCATGGACTTCCAGGGGAGCTCTCTGATGGCATAGTGGTTAAGGAGTTGTACTGCCAACACAAGGTGGCACTTTGAATCCACTGACTGGTCTGAAGAAGAAAGAAGGGCAGTCAGTCTCCTCCCATTCAATTCATAGCCTCTGAAATTCCACTGGAGGGTCAGCTGTATTAAGTTGCTTGCAAGATGGCAGCGATGAGTTTGAGGGTTTGTTTGTTTTTAAACTGATATTTTATTGTAAGTTTATAAAGAGCTTGGATTTCCATTCATTCATTGTTGCACATTTTTCTCCCTGCCTCCTTCACCCCCACCCAATTCGGTTTTTTCCTTTGGAAAAAAAGTTCTTTCATTGTTTTACAGTCGTCACCCACAAGACCACTTTACTAGGCAGCTCTTATTTTAGA